CGGGGAGGCGATTGGGGGCCTGGAAACGGGGTCCGGCCCCTTCCGGCGAGGCCTGGGGCGGGCGGGCCGCCGCCAGCTCACGTGCTGCCATTTCCCCCGCAGACCCAGCATGGCCGCCCAGGGAGAGCCCCAGGTGCAGTTTAAGGTAAGGGAGCGGTCTGCGGCCTTTGTGTGCTCACGGGTGGGCTTTGTGCTTTTCCCTTCAGTAGAAAAGTACCACGAGCGGCTCTCGAGTGCCAACGTGGATGGGAGGTTTGGCTTTGAAGTGCTGGCCTTTCCTTAACGATGTAGTTAGTTTATTGTAGTATTGCATGTAACTTGTATGATAAAACTCCGTTGCACTGTGTCAATGTGATTGTAGTTTAGTGGAGTAAATTTCGGTGGTGCCTTGCCTATAGGGTGGTTTTTACATTTCGGAAGTGAAAGTCACAGCAAAAAGTGCTTAGAGCAAATTAGAATAGTCAGTTTTCTGTTGTGTGCTAATTGTTTGGGGGGGGAAAATCCAACATTAAAATGGTTCAGAACAGAATTTTCTTGTGTTGGGGAATTTTTCTTGCATTGGGGAATGTGTGTGTGTTTGTCTTAACAGTCAGAAGTCCTTAAGGCTGATTAATAAAAGGTTGTTACTTGTGTTTCTTGCAATACTTGGCTAGATTATTCCAGTTGTTAGTAGTGTAATTGTGGGGGATTTTTTAACTGTGAGATTACAGTGGATTTCTCCAGTTTGGGTGCTTGAATGAGTTCCTCCTTAAATAAGGTGAAAGTTCCGGTTTAAAAACCCACGTATTCTTAAATCAGTCATTTGTAGTTCAGTAGAATCACAGTGACAGTGCACTGTAGTTTTCACCTGTGGGAACTAGATAAGCCTGACTAAAGTTACAGCATGGTAGGCTTAACAAGTTGGGTCACAGTACAGTGAGTAACTCTGTGGGGAATTCAGTCTTTTGTTTGCAGCGTCTTGTAGGGCTAAGATATTTGTAGTGATGGTTAGTATTTACACTAAAATGACCAGTAAATGTCTCTAAAAGTGTATTGCTCTGACTTCTCATGCTTTTATCAACAGCTTGTTCTGGTTGGTGATGGTGGCACTGGTAAAACAACATTTGTAAAACGTCATTTGACTGGTGAATTTGAAAAGAAGTATGTAGGTATGTCTGAAGAAACATTTGAGATATAATATGTTAAAATCAGAAGTGCGATTTATGACTTGCTGAATACATTGCTTTTTTTATTACTGTAGCAACGCTGGGTGTTGAAGTTCATCCTCTGGTGTTCCATACTAACAGAGGCCCTATTAAATTTAATGTATGGGACACAGCTGGCCAAGAGAAGTTTGGTGGCCTGCGAGATGGCTATTACATCCAAGGTAAGATGTGGGTATATGTGGGAATATTCTATACCTCTTGCAGTTCAACCTTATATTCTGTTTGTGTTGGCCACTCCAAAAGCTGCTGGTATGGCTTGCAGTGATGAGCTGATTACTGGGTTTTCAAACTCTTCATGTAGATACGATAATTTCCTTTGCTAGGCACCTTGCGCTGATGGAGGAATATTCTAAGACTGGGTTTCAGTATGCTATTGCGGGTTTTGGTATTAACGCAGAGTAATGATGCACCTTAAATGATAAGATACTGCTAATGAAATTCAGTGGTTAAAAGGTAGAATGGAAGTATGTGCCTCAGTTAGTACAAATTAATATCTGTATTAATGTACTGTGCTGAGGCAAGGACTTGAAACACACAAACTGTAAAAATCTTGATACGATTATGAAGTTGTACATCTCCATGCCAAAGTCTAGTTATCTTTCTAAAGAAGTCCTGATAGTGTCCCTTAACATCTGCTTGGCCAAGCTCTGTTCTGTGTGTACTTCAGTCACCTGCATATCTTTAAAATTTTGTAAGGGATTACTAGTTTGACATTATTGCTTTTACTTTAGAAGTATCAGGATCAAGTCAAGCCCTATGTTCTTTGAAAAACTGTTGTGGACAAGGGCATCCTGAGATGTGGACTACAAGCTCTCAGCCTGCCTGAAACCCTCAGTAGGATGTCTGAGATTGATTTACACCAGTATTTGACAGAAATTAGTTAACACCTATTTAACTAAAGTGTACTTTTGTAATCCTTTTATATTCCCATACCATGCAACACCACATTACTCAGTGGGACAGTTGCATTGATAAAACTAGCTGGTGTTTAAGATCGGGCACCAAAGATGTGAGATGACATGGCCATGGACTGAGTTCTGTGGACTCGTGCATTGAGCTTGTTGAGGGAACATGGGATCTCAGAACTCTGAAGTTGAGAGGGAAAAGTTAATGCAGACACCTAACCCTAATGTGGGATTTTTATGGGTACCGCCTCTCCCATCTAATGAGCAAGTGCTTACTCTCCTGATGTAACTCTTGACTATTCTTTTCTTGCAGCTCAGTGTGCCATCATAATGTTTGATGTAACATCAAGAGTTACTTACAAGAACGTACCTAATTGGCACAGAGATCTGGTACGAGTATGTGAAAACATCCCCATAGTGTTGTGTGGCAACAAAGTGGATATTAAGGACAGAAAAGTCAAGGCAAAATCCATTGTCTTCCATAGGAAGAAGAATCTCCAGGTATGTTGGGCTGAGTTTGTAGGAGTCAAATTTGTTGGGTCTGACTGCAGCTTGGTTCTGTGCAGTAATGATGTGTTCTGCCTTTGTCACTACAGGCTATAGTATTTCAACTTTACGTCCTCTTTGCCACTTTACCCTAACCTCAGGGAGGGGGGAAGTGATGATGTTAAAGATGATCATCACTGGTCTTGAGCAGAAGCTATAATAAGCTCTTAAAGAGTTTGTGTGCATTTGGCTTTCACTGCTCAATCTCATCAGATGTGAGACTAAAGTAGATCTAGTCACAGGGAAGATAGATGTGCTATTGCCTCCTGAGAGTTCATCTCTGATCAGATTGGATACCTAAATTTTCCACTATCAGTTCTGCCTGTTTGCCTGAAAATGTACATTTCTAGACACTGCTGTCAGAAAGTTATGATCTTAAACAGAAGTCATGCGGTCAAAAAGAATACTAAGGTAAAAGTAGAGCTGATAATGTGCATGTTAATCTTTGTATGCCCTAAATACCCGTTAGAAATGTGTCTCAATATGTGTAATATGTACTTTTTTGCAGTATTATGACATTTCAGCCAAGAGTAACTACAACTTCGAGAAGCCTTTCCTCTGGCTTGCTAGAAAGCTAATTGGAGATCCTAACTTGGAGTTTGTTGCCATGCCTGCTCTTGCACCACCTGAAGTTGTTATGGACCCAGCACTGGCAGCACAGTATGAGCAAGACTTACAGGTAAGTGGGAAAGGGCACAAAGGTGAAGTGATTGCCTGGTAACTAGTGTTTGGACTTCTGAGGCAAATAAGTGAAGAACTGTTCTTAAGTGTAACTTCTTTATTCCAGATTGCTCAGACCACTGCACTGCCAGATGAGGATGATGACCTGTGAGGGATGAAGCTGGAGCCCAGCGTCAGAAGTCTAGTTTTATAGGCAACTGTCCTGTGATGTCAGTGGTGCAGCGTGTTTGCCACTTTATTATCTAGCTGAGCAGAACATGTGCTTAATCTTTGGGATGCTGAAAGAGATGAATGGGCTTCGGAGTGAATGTGGCAGTTTAAAAAAAAAAATAAACACAAAACAAAATGGATAAAAAAAACCAAAACTGAACTTCATATTTTGGACCTGCATATTTAGCTGTTTTTTGGACTGCAATTACTTCCCCTTTTGAGTTTCAAATATAAGACTGCTGCAGTCACATCAGAGTGTTAAGTGGTAAATCTTGTTTCTGTCATTCCCATTCTTTTTTGTTTAGATAATAAAGTTGTATTTCAAGTATCTCTAAGCAAGTGAACTTCCATGCATTGTTGGGAAAACTCCTTCAAAGTGTCTTCTGTTCTTAAATTGAGGCTAATACTTGGTTGTCTACTGTTTCTCATTCTCTGTTCTCCTTTTCTCTTCTGCTTTTCATGTTATGCTCCTCTTGCTAAATCAGAGCTAACAGTTAACCTTCCCTTGATTTCCTAAAGCATATATAATTAACTAAAGCACCTGAGGAAAGCTGAACTAACTGCCAGGTAAAACTACAGCAGTGAACACTTGACTGAGTGTGACTGGATCAACATTCCTCTCCAAATGGGGATGTTTGTGGTCTGCAGGGTGTCTTGTGAGAGAAGTGTGTAGTTCAGCTTACATATACTACCATTAGATACAGTCTCTTGATTCTGACTTTTAATATGTTCTACAATACACCTTCAGAGCTCTGTATTTTTAGTAGCCAGAAACAAATGGCCTTTAGGTCTTGTTAGGTAACTTAAAACTGTGTCTTTGCATGGAACATCATTCAGTAGAGCTATAGCTGATTAAACAAACTCTCTCTGAGCATCTTAAAATTCACTAACTACAAAACAGCAGTAATTTGAGCTAAAAAGCTCTTGGCTACAAAACAACGTATTTAGTAAAACCACATATAAATACCTAGAGTTTACTGTAACTGCACCAAGTTCTTAATTTGAAACTCTAGCTTATTACAGCACAAATGGTGGAAAATGTCAACTCTTAACACTATCTTGTAGAGATTAATCTTGGTCAGTATTAGTACTGCTAGTAAACAAAACTGAGTTGAAGATACCATTTTTTCAGTAGTGTTTGAGTACATGAAGCCTTGACCTCTTCAGTTTTGTATTTTTGGTTTCTGAATAAAGTGGAGCATTTCATTTATTCTTTTTAACTTGCATGTTTGTGTACATAACTCCTACTTGAATATTTTAACTATTTGACTGTTCTGGTACATGGTAGCAAAAAGTGGACTATGATTATTCTGCAATATTGTTGTAAAGGAATAATTTTTAAGTTAGTGCAAGTTATTATGTGGTGGTTTTTGTTGGGTTGTGGGTGTTTTAGCTAGTCAATGAGGTGGGGTTGTGGTATTTAGGACCTGAAATTCATAGATGAAAATCAGCAATATCATACACTTAGTTTGTGAAGGGACAGACTCCTACCTAACATTCCATTGAGTCTGCTTGCTGCATCATCTTGCTTTAACTTCTTATTGTAGGTTCTTGCCTGTAGTGTTTACTAATTTACTTGTACATACCTTAATACTGCTGGCTTGACTGCTGCTGCTTTACTAGATGTGGTAGCTTTTTTGTCTTCAAGCTGTCTCACTTCTGAAAATGCACTGTTTAAAGACACATTAATGTAGAAAACTTGTAGTTCTGCAGTATTGATAAGCTTTAAGGAAAACCAGAAGCACTGAAGTTCTGTATTGTTTTGTAGCGTGTGTGTGGTGTCATCTTTACAACTTGCCTGCTGCATGCGGGTACTAGCCTTAGTATGAATTCCTACAAAACAGCTGAAAAGATTTACAGAAAGTGAAAGTTGTACTAGTCTTTAAACAGCTACGAACTTTGTCGTCTTCAGTGTTCCTTCCAAGTCCTCAGAAACTCACCTCTGAAGTAGGCAGTGATGCTACTCCTTCTGTGAAGTCATCTCTTAACTTGAAATGTTTTGGGAGTGGAATTAAGTCCACTAGTTGCAGCATTATGTTTGGTTTGTCACATTTAGTCCCTGTTAATTGTTGACTATAAATAATGCAAGTAGCCTTAATATGCATGTGCAGATTCCTCAGTTGAACGCTCTTACTGTTTGTTTACTGGTTGGTTTTAGGCAACTTGTGTTCGAAGAACCTCTACTAAATAGTCACATCGGTCTGTATCATGCCTTTATCAGGACTGAATTGATGGGACTGGAATCCTGTTCTGCAGTACCTACTTTGTTCTACTTGCTTGACTGGTTCAGGTTGGTTTTTAATAACTTGTTAGAGACCATGCTCAGCCTCAACTTCCAAAAGCAGAATGAGGTGCTTGGCCATTTACTGTTCCTAGTTCCATGATGAAAACAGCTTTAAGTGTCTAGGCCCAGAGGGTTGTATTGGAGTAGATGAAGAACTAGTACATGTGCCAAAAGGGTAAGACAAAAGCATTTTTTTAAGAACTGACAGAGGGAACGTTTTGCTACTTCTCGTCGAACCTTGAAATGAAGGGGTGGTAAAGGCCTACTTGGGAGAGCTAGGGTTGCCCTTGGACTGCTCAGGATTTCAACAGAGGATCTTTTTTAGAAACATTGGAGAAGGTTTCTCTGCAACAACTGGAGATCAGCGTGCCAAGAAGGTTGAGGTCTGCCGCCCCCTTATGCCTGTAAGTTACAGTATAACAGAGTTTTTCTTTGTTGCTTCCCTTTAGAAATGGTTGTGTTGTGTGGCTAATACAGTCTTAGTCTAAACTAGTGCAGAAAACAGTGCTGAGACAAACTGTTCTTCTGCCTTCACCTTCTTAAAACAAACACAGGGTTTGGCTGAAGGCAGTTTTCCTGACCTGGACTGGTCATTTTCTCTCACCTGACTTGGTGACAGTTGATTTGGCCCTTTTAAACCAGGATTGACAGGGATGTCTTACTAGTAACTGAAAAGCTGCATCTACTGCTGCTTTGATCTGCCAGCACATGGGTGCGTTAATTTAGAGGCTGGTTGTGTGTGTGTGTCTGGGTTTTTGCACTGAGTTGAGAAGTTTGATGGGAAGAATCTTTTTTGCTAGCACAAGCTGCTTTGAGTGTCCCATGAAAGAGTTCTTCCTTGCGTGTGTCCTGTAATGCTCTTGATGTCTCTGCAAGTGTCCAAAAATGGGGAGACGTTTTCAACTGGGGACTCACACTGGGGCTTTTATGGCTGTGCTGTCCCAGGCGGATAGATTTTTCAGATGACAACTCCCAGGTCAACACCCAGCTGTTCCCAGTGTTATGTGACTTTGAGTCTTCATTGCCGTCTGGCTTGTGTGTAACTGGCCTTGGGGTGCAAGCTGTTGCCTTTCCAGCAAAGGAGGGGAAGGCCGATGCCTCCTTCCGGGTTAGAGCTCACTCGGCTGCCTGACAAACAGTGTGAAGTTAAACTGGGAGGAATTTTGTCTGAAAGGAAGGCTTCGTATGATCGACTGTTACACAGACTTAGTGGGACTTAGTGAAGAGCAAAACCATAGCCTCTGCATATATCTAGTTATGAATGATTGTAGGGATGTTGAAACCCAAGGCACGATATCTATACCAAGGCTCTAGCACAGAGCCTGAATCTTTGTTGGTTACAGATTTGAGTGTACAATGCAAGTACTTTTAATTGGGTTGTGTGGGTAATTTTCCTCTGGTTCAAAGTGTGAATGATACTTCCCCAAAACTCTATAATGTTCTACAAGCTGCATCACTGAAATGGGCCAATGTTTGTATTAGGGCACTAGTTTGGTATAGAATAGGTTATTTGATTTTCATTTTATTTTGTGTAGTCATAGTTGATGTCTGTGCTGTGATCCTGGAATTCTGTGATTAAGAGAATTGGATTCCCATATTTCTGCTATTTGCTTGAGGGGAAAAAAAATTGAAAGTATGCATACAAGTTTACCCAATTCTATTATAAACAGAATTTCATGTTTTTTATAACATTAACAAAGGTTTTAATGTTTGCACTATCTCTGAAGTAATGGTTTCAATGTATTTAATGTAAGCATTCAAAACTGGATTTCATAACTATGGTTCCAGGTTAGTAGGAGGCAGTGAGCTTGGTCTGTGCTCAATTGCTGATTTTCGTATTGACACTTCATTAATAACATCTGAAAAGGGCAGCAAGAACAAACTGTCAGCATAGGCAGTCATAAACAGGAAGCTGAGAAGGTTGGTGTCCAGGTAATAAAATCACTGGTTGTAGTCTGAAGGAGGAGGATTTTTCAGAATACAGCAATCTAAGTCTTCTGTACCAAGTGTTTAGCTAAAGATAGCAAATCAAGTGCCCAACAGAAGTGGTTCTTGCTTGCTTTGACCTTCTTTTTTGGGTGGCAGTTGGCTTCCGTGAGCTCGTACCACTGTGGTGCTGGTTCCTGTTGCTGCTGTGTTACTGGCTTTTTGCGGCACAAAACCAGTGGGAACTTGTTGATGACTTTTCCGCGTCTTGGTGACTTGTGACAACAGTGCTGGAGGGAAGGAAGCAGTGTACTTTTGCTTATAGTTGAGAATATAAAGGAAAGTTAACTTTCCTGTCAGGCTGTTTCAATGGATTACATCATAAAAAAAAAAAAAAACAACAAAAAAAATCATTACAATTTCCGGAACTCAGGCTGGGTTTGCAGAGGGC